TCTACAGTAGCATTTTAATTTGGATCAGGAGTGTGCTTTTGACATAAATCTCTCAGTCATCTCTAGTTCAGTTCATGTTGTGGAACAGACTTGGGCCAAATAAACAGGATTCCTTTTAGATGAAACTAAATAGTAAGGTGTACCTGAAGATCACTTCTAACACACCCTGATTACTGATGGGATAAAAATAGATCTAATCAAGTATTCTCTCCCCCACAGATATCTGTAGTGTAGATGTTGGCCCCTAAACATCAAGTTCTGACAGAAAAAAAAACCCCGTAAATCTGGGGTTACATAATTTAGCTACTTGCTAATATTGGACACAGCTTGGCTTGTTATGGCTCACCATAGAGAGTTGTGCATGTTTGGGAGGAAGGTAGACTGGTAGTCCAGTGTACCTGTGTACAAAACCGGTGTACAAAACCTGCTAAACCTGTGTGCATGAGGTGAATAGTCTGTATTTCATTAAAAAAAAAAAAAAAGGAGGGTCAACATGTGATATATTTGTATTCAGCCTATATTGCCTGTTCATTATTCTAAGGCTAATTATTTTGATGGATTATATAAAAATTAACACACTTTTTTTTTTAAAAAAAAAGAACCTTGTTGACACTTGTATAGAGAAGGGAATTGTTAAATTATGTGCTTGATATAAGGGCTTGTGATTGTTTGAAATAATCATGTTTATAGCAACACAAACCTCTAATGAGGCATGATGAACTAGGACAACTACTTCAGTGGAGGAAAATAAAGTGAAACACACTTCCTTCAAACACAGTACATGCTCTGTTGTTTCAGTGGGACAATCATCATGTACAAAGCAGTGTATTGGGATGTTTTTCAGCCTTAATTGCCCTGTCAGTTACAATTAGAGGTGTTAATGTAACTGTGAAATGCTACAAATTACTTGTGGCTTTTGCTCCTTATGCATTCTCAGCTTGTCTTGCACAAAAGGATATCAGAATGACTGAGATCTCTTGCTGAGCCTGTTATTAAGGTTTCCTTGTTCTGCTCCCTGGATACAGTTATTCACTCAGTGTGGGTTCAGTATTATGGGTGTAAAGATGCCTGCAGCAGAATGGAACCTTTAAACATAAAGGGAAAAAACCTTTATGTATTAGGCATTTCTTCTGAAATAGCTGAAGCTATAACAACAATTTTTATAGCTGTACTGTTTAAAAAAATTACAGTTTTTACAACCAAAGTTGTTATTGGTATGAAATCATATAATTTTCAAGATCTTACGGGTGCTTAGTGATTTATAGGGTTTTGACGTTATTTTTCTTTTATACTTGAGGAGCAGATGTATTTCAAAATCCTGCCAATGTGATCGTCTAGAACAAAGAGATCATTAGAAATTACCCAGAAATTTTTGACTCTTGGAGGAAACATGAACTTGAAAGGGGAGGTCTGAGGACTGTATTTGCTAGTCCTCTCATTCCATTAAGCAGTATCAAAAGCTTATCTGGTCCAACACTAATAAATAAACCAAAGAGGACAAATCAAATGGACAATACTGATACTGTACTCTGATAAGCAGAGAAAAAGAAGAAATGCAGAGGATTCACAGAAGAGTGGCCAAATGCTCTTGGTAGGTTAGATTTTATTTTCTTCCACTACTGAAAACTACTGAGTGCAGCAGTCATTCAGTGAACTAATAGACTTACTTCATCTTGTTTTGAAACAGCTGCTTTGCATTTCTGCAGTCTTAGAGATTGCATTGCCTTTTGAAAGGGCAAATGTCTCTGACAGTGGATTAAACTCCCTAGTGTTTACTTCAGAGCTGGAAAAAACCTCACACTGCAGGATGGTTTTATCCTATTGCCTGAATCTTGGAACACTGAATAAATTGTACACAGCCAGGGACGCTTCAGTTTCATGACTGAAATGATGGATGACTAAGTAAAGTGACATATGTGTTCAGATTTGAAATATATGTACTGCTTAGTGAAAGAACTTAAAATATAACTCATCATTTTTGTTTATTTGGATTAAAAACTGATTACTGAAGCCCATTATTTATAAGGTAACATTTTAAATGGGATTAATCCAGATTAAATAGTTTCTCCTTAACGTTTTTGTTCTTTGATCTGTGCAGTATAAGCATCCTGGTAAAATAAATGTAAAATTTAAACACTGTAAAGCCTGCCTATGTTTTTGAGGGGAGATGTCAGTATTTGAAAATATTTTGAAAATAGGAGAAAAGTCTTTAAAGTCTTTATCAGTCTTCAAAGACATGAATGTTTTTCAAAAAGCCTTTTTTAATTCTCTTAGAAATTTTGAATTTTTGAGGGCAAACGTGTTTTGTATGTTAGGGAAGTTTTTAACTTATACCATTTTCCTCAGCAATTGAAGAAATGAGTAATTGGCTAAAGTTATGCAGTGATTAAAAACTGCCATAATCGTTTATAACAATTGTTTAAGCCATGAAAAACAGTGATAAAATTGGCAACTACTAAGACTTTATTTTTTGCATAATGACAAGTATAGATTCTTTTAGATATGTAATGACCCTGACTTATGCACATGTATTCTGTGTCTGTGTGTGTGTGCTGACAAGTTCCCAAAGGAACATTCTGTAAACTGAAAACATTAATGTGTTCTCCAAGCAGATGAAAAAGATCATATCACCAGTATGTGACATAGTATGTAAATGAAATTGAACATGATACTTACCAACAAAAACTTAATTAGATAGCCATGTCAGTCCCATATATGTGTGAATATGTGTATGAACTTGGAAAATTAAAGACCATGTAGCAAATTTGTCAGATCTACAACATGTAATAATTGAAATTGCCTAATATTGTAACTTTTTATATCATAGAAGTTTGATTTTCAGTACTTCTTAGCCATAGAAAGTGTATAGAAAGAGGGTTTGACTGCAACAGTACCACTATCTCCACAAATACAGATTATGAAATGTTTTTCTTGCTGAAGGGAAATGTTTCTCAAATTGGAATTTCTGCATGCCTGGCCTAGGGAGAAAAAGCTAAACCTTCTTCTGTCTAAAATATCTTTGGGATGAAGCTTTCGTGTTTGCTACTTTACATTTCTAGTCCAGCCAAGGAAGTGGATTTAGAGACTAAAAAAATACATTTTAATGCTGCTACAACATGGTGGATTATGTGCTTCAGTTCCTGGTCTGCAAATGCTGGGAATAATGGAGCATGGTTTTAACCTGGGCTTTAGGCATCTGACTTTGGGCTTTTTCATAGGCTAATCTCCTAAACAGCAGCCAGAACTGGACAGACTGCAAGAAGGTGATTGGGAAGCCCTGAGTTAAGCTTCTCTAAGGAGCTCTTTTGGAGAAGCAGCCACCTTTCTCCCATAATAATATAGGAAGCCTTGCTCAAATCCCTCTGATTGATCTTTCTTGCAGGCTTCCTTTCCCTTGACTTTGTCATCTGCTTAACTCAGACAAGAAAAAGGCATTTTGGAAGGTAAATGCAGTCAGAGAAGTATTGCTGAAATCAAAGGAACTACTTAGGTGTGTAACCACACACACGCGCGCACACACACACACACACAAAAGTACTTGCAAAGCTGGGGTGTTAGATAATGAAGTTTTTGAGGAATATGCTCTCTGTTTGGCAGAGTTATTTGTTAAATAAATAGTAACCAGACAGCACTATTTTTGCAATCAATAACTGTAGTATTTCTTTTCATGTTTGTGTTTAGATAAAAATGTATTTATGTCGAAGCTGTTGCAAAGACTGACTGAGACTTTAAAAGTGGCATAGTCACTCAAATATTTCACATGTGCTTTTCACCAAGGGATGACAAGTTTTATTTTTGTATAAAGGGTCTTAAGATAAACAGAAAGAACTATGCTGCTGTATTTCATAGATACGGCTGATTTTTTAAAGAAATTTCAAATATATTTTCACATCAACATGCAGAAACATAAAGACATGAATTCTTTTTATTTAACACTACTTGTTCAGATAGTGGACAGTTACACTTGACCCATTTCTGATCTCTAGAGAAGAAGGTGATTAACTGCAGGCTTTGCTCCCCTACTTCATTGTAGCTATCTAGAAACAAGCTATAAAAAGGCCTATTCAAGGGAAAGAAAGAAGGTCAGGCACTCAATCAGACTGTAAGAGCTGGGATTACTGTCAAAATGGAATTTTTTTTCTATAAAATAATATCTTTTTCTGTAATAGTTTTATTCTGTTATTAATATAAAATTAGCATAGGTTTTGTACAAGTTTGGTTTTTTTTTTTCTCATTTAGATCTGTAATTCAACTATTAACCTGCTGACAGAAAGAGCAGGGAGTAAGCTGTGGAAGACCAATGGCACCCTGAAATAGAATGGAAGATGCAGCATTGGTGGTGTCTGGGTTTTGGGTATTTGTGTAGGATCCCTAATGGCTCATGGAGTGGAGAATACACTAAAATTGTTAAATTATCTTGACATAGCATAGAAAATATCTGAAAAAGAAAATAATAGGGAAAACTCCAATTAGCAATTGTAGGTAGACAGAAATAAATGTCGTGTGCTTAGTGGGTGAACTGGTTAGGTAGCAGATCTCCAAGGAAAGATGAGGAAGCTGTGCTGCATCACAGTCAGAATGTATTCCAAGAGAGATAAGCTGTTGGGAAAGAGGAAAGCATGTATCACAGGATGCTAAACTGTTGTGTTTCTTCAACTTTAACAGGACAAAGAAAGGGTCAGCCAGAATAGCATGGCCAGCCAGGGTAAGCAGGGCATGGAAAAAACAGGTTCCTGCTGAGACCTGTGAGACACAGTGTTCATAATGCAGTGATGGACGGTGGCACACTCAAAGAGTTTGGGGTCTGTTTAGCTGTTAGTTCTTTTGTGTCATTTTGTTATGATATTGGCACCATAATACTGAGCAGTGTTGCAATAAAAATAGAAAATGGAGCAGGATTACCATGGGAAAGATACAGAGAGAAATAACACTGATCAGAAATAAATCAAGAGAGTTATGTCTGAGAAAATAATTTATGATTTGTGAAGGCATCACATATCTCAGGTCCATCTAATTTATTCTGGCAACACTCCATTTACTCCACATTAAATTAAATGTCTCCATAATGGTATTAATAGGTAAGGGCATTCTCTCTCTGCAAAGGCAGAAATCTTCTCTAAGTTCTCTAATATGCTCAACAGTAAAGGTGCAAATTGTGGTATTTTGTTAATCAGTTATTATTACATAGGCATTTGCAAAGGACAGAAAAGTCTTTATCTGATTTAGGACAAAAATTGTAGTTACTTCTTCACATTTCCTTAGGAAAAGAAACAGCAAGCAGGAATCCTCCAGTGTCAGTGATTCTTGATGAACAGGACACAAAGTCCTTTGAAGTCAGCCATGGCTCAGGGGTTTTACAGCCATGTACCAGATGAGTATGCTGGGGTTGTCACACGGTCATAGGATGGTTGCAGGTGCATCTGGAGAACATTCAGTCTAGCTCTCCACTCAGAGCAGGGTCACCTAGGGCTGGTTTCTCAGGACTCTGTTCTGTCCCACATTTTCCTTAGGCTTTCTTTTGCTTATGATGTTCCTGTAGAAACTTCCCTTATTATCCTTTGTGACTCTCTCCAGATTTAACTCCAGGTGGGTTTTGACTTGCCTCCATCCTTGTACCCTATCTCTATATTTCCTTGACCCTACTTCCACCTCCTACAAATTTCTATTTGAGGGTAGTCAGATGCTACTTGTTCATCCATGTAGGCCTCCTGTCTCCTTTGCTCCATTTCCTGCACAAGAAAGTGGACTGTTCTCAAGCTTGGATAAGATGAACCATCTTTTTTGGACCTGTTTTTTCCCCAGAACCATCTCCCATGACAATTGTCCAAGCAGATACGTGAACTGACTGGAGTCTACTCTCTTCTCCTTTCTCCCCTGTTATGCAGGACTCTTGAGAATAATAGAAAATATTTTTAAAGATACTTTGAGGTCTTTAAGGTATCATACCTGGGAGGTGAGCTTCAGACATTGCTACACAGCTTGCGGAATGTTGAGTCTGTGTCCTGTTCTTGTGCCACCGTCTACTTGACTTTTAAATTGTAGTTATTTACCTCATGTCCATTCCTGGTTTTGAACAGTGTGTCTGTATGGAAGAAACCATTTTCCTTTAGCCTGTGTGTGGTTCTGCTAAATTAAAGGAACTATTCCAGGACATATCTTACCTGCTTAAAGGAGCGCATTGCAGAAGGTTCCTAGCTGAGCTGGCATTTCCACCTGTCTTGTGTTGCAATGCAAGATGTAACCAAAAGTATGAATTCTCTTACCATCTGTTAAACCAGGTATGGCAGTGTTCTTTTTGTCTTCCACAACCCATCCTCCCTCCAGGGGGATCTCTTCTGTTAATGAGCCATTGAGTCTCACTGCATGACTGATAAAATTGCATCATCCCATTGGGAAATGCTCCGCCCAGGGGAGGAGCCAAGCATTCCTACCTGGATATAATCTGAGCCTCAGAACACTGCAGTCAGCCTTTCTCCACTGGATTCTCAGAGGAAGACTGGACCCATCTACAGCACCACTGGGCCTTTGGAGGAAAACTATGCCTTTCAACAGGATGATTGCTTCAACAGAACCACATCTGTCATTCCAGGAGTGACACCAGGCAGCCACCACTTAATTGGACTGCTACCAACACCCTGACCAATAGGGTGCCAGGTTGTATTCTGACTCTCTCAGTGGTGGTTTTTTGTACTAATGCATTTTATTTCAATTTTCCTAGTAAAGATCTGTTATTCCTATTCCCATATCTTTGCCTGAAAGCCCCTTAATTCAAGGTTATAATAATTAGGGAGGGCAGATGGTTTACATTTTTTCCATTTCAAGAGAGGTTTCTGCCTTCCTTAGCAGACACCTGTCTTTTTAAAGCAAGAGGCCACCCTGCACTGTGTGGAGCTGCCATTCCCTGGCACCACTGTAGATGAATATTAAGTCACACTTACCAATGTTCTTTCTGCTGTTGCATTTGAAGATCCTGTTTTTTGTGCCTGGTACGTTTGGTAGCTCACTGTGATTATGTAATCAAGTTCACTTGATAGGGAAAAGAATTTTTTCTAAGTACATAAACCTAATCTTGGGAAAAATGTAAATAGTATGAATTCAATGATACAGAGCTCTGTCACTTAATTTCACTCCTTCTACTGTACTTACCCGTGACAATCTCTGGTACAAACATCAGACACGTGGTGAAGGCAAACTGGGTACACTAAAGTAATGTTTACCTTTCCATTGTCAAATCATATTTATGTGGCATAAGCTGGTTGAATTTATCTAAAATGTACCTATTTGCCCATCTGCCAAAGCTGTTTTAGAGCATTTAAAGATTCTTCTTCTTGTTTTTGATTAAATACCCATTTCAGGACTCCAATACCATTAAATTATCACAAGCTGTTTAATTACAATGCACATTTGATTCACAAGAGGGTTTATTTCTTCTTTATTGTATTGATAGACTTGTCATAATTAAAATCAAGATTCAATTTTTTAAAAACCATAACCTCCATGCTTTTTAAGCTGTAAAGGAGACTTGGAAGTGATAAATTCACAAGTTAGAATTCTTTTCCTTAGGAAGCTAAGTGTCTCTTTCTGTTAAAATCATGTAGTTTTTGCTCTTGCTATCACAGAGAACATGAGATTTTTCTCAGCACCTTTGTTAGTAAGTAGATGGCATACATATGATGAATTTGAGTTTTCAAATTGCTGTTGGTAAAAATATTAAAAGATGAAGGATCTTCAAAGGCAGGTAAAATAAACACAAAAATTAAGAAATTTAAATGTCAGTGTTCTTGGGAAAGAAATACTAAATGTAGTAACTGCTATGAAGATTGAATTAAACTTTAGAAGGGGCTCTAAGTATTTTCCATGTAGTTGCAGAAAGCTTATAGAGTAGTAAAGTGTTACCTGAAAAACTGCTAGCAACGGAAAATTATGCCCAAATCACATATTTGAGAATATAAATATTGAAGATGGTGATTTGTTAAACTGTGGTCAAAAGCTTTTACACAAAAAAAATCTGAAATATTAAATGTGCTCAAAAGACTCCTATTACAATACTTGTTTGAGATCTTCAGGTTTTGAAATTTTCATATTCATTTGTTTAGTCCAGATTTTTCATTAATTTAATCTTTTTGGGGATATAGTCCACTACAGTACTCTTTGTATTTTGCTACTATTATTTAAATTTAAGTTCTAAGTTTTTCTTCATTCTAGAAGGTATTATCAATCACTAATTACAAAAGCCAGACAAGCCAATCTTGAGTGATAAGATTCAGTTCTTAAATTCATTTTCCTTATCTTCCTCCCATTCATCATGCCAACTGAATCTATTCCCTTACCTAGATAAAAATAAATTTCAATACATACTAATATTTCCTGACCATATCCACAAAGTACTGATTATAAAATCAAATAATAAAAGAATAATAATAAAAGGAAAAATGAAATAAAATACCAGCAAATTGTCAATCTCTACAATGTTCTTTTATTCAAGTGTATATGAATATTTGGAATGTATATAAACTGTTGTGAAACAGTTGCCTGTTTATAACTGAAATAGCAAAGTGTTTAAATTTAATTATTTGTGCATAAAAGCCACTACTTATGCATTTATACCTGTATGTAAATTATTTACATATTATTTATGATTTAGCTTGTAACTGTGAAACATACAGAGTGGGGACCTACACCGGGTTCCATAAATTTTTGTACAAACTGTGGTTTAAACCCATCAATTGAGCAAAAAGGTCAATAAAAATGCCTCCCAGATTCCCGTATCAGCTGTTTTCTCCCTCCCTGGCAATGTAATAAAACCCCAGTGCACCTACTGATGTTGTGCAGCAGTCACAAGAGCTGTCTTTATATCAACCTACAAGAACTCAGGCTCACCTCCCTGAAGTTTTTTGGAGTACAGCTGGACACGGCATCACCTAAGTTTATCCAAATGATGTTCACATGAAGAACCTTTAATTAACTCTCCTTAACTGTGCTGAATAACTTACCAGACACTATTTGTTTAGAGAAAAAATGGTACAAATCCATTGATTGACCAAGTTGAAGCAGAATGGTTATATTTATATATATGGTCCAACACCACTGATTGGCTCCCAAGATCGTTGGAGGAGGATGATGTGTTCAACAAGATGTCATGTCCTGATTGAAGCCCAAGTCAGTCAGAGCAGCCCAGTGCCTGATGATCTGGTTGGTGAATCAGCTGTGGTCAAGCCTAGCTCCAGTCATTGGATGGAAGTGTGCTGAGGAAAAGGCACTTTTGACTGTTTGAGTTTGAACAGAGCACAGGTTCTATGGCAAAATATCAGAGTGGGATTTAGTGAAAAAACAGAACTATTACTACATTTTAGCAGGCAGGAAAATTTGTGCATATAAAAATTTTTCAATACTGCTCAGTTAGGGGGACAAAAGATTAAAGACACCATAAGACAAATTATTAAAAGGACAAATGTATAGAACAAGGGAAGAAAAGGAAAGGAAATTCATTTGAATAAAGCCCAGAAAGTCAGCATCTGTGTTGGAGACCATTGCAAATTTTCTTAAAGGTAGCATCCTTTCATGGTTGTAACTAGCCTGCTGCATCTGAAACAAGGGGTCACATCCATATTTTTAAAACTACAGAAAACTCTGAGTAATTAATTCAACTTGTCAACCTCTCATGGAGTTAAACATACATAAGCTTTCTATAACTGTTTCCCAGGGAGTATCAGAGAAAAAAGAAATGCAGGAAATTCAGAGGCTGTTGAGCAATTTTTATAACTAAACAGTCAGTGATAACTACAATGTGCAGCCAACCAAATATTTACCCTTTTCGTTAAATATTTGTATGAGATACTATTTCATAATTACTGTTTTCTTTCTTTCCATTCAAAAATTCCTATAAAATAGAAAGAAATGGCCAGGTGTATATTTAAGTACTCATTTGATACATGAAATCTTTTTTATTAGGCAGGTCAGTGAAAGCACAATTGTGTATTACCTTGAAAAATGAGGGAGTTTCTTTCCTTTCTGACTGAAGTCCTATTAATTTCCTTACCAGTTTGCATCTTTCAGAAGTAGCCTTTTGACAGTCATCTCAGCATTTAAAGTCCCTGTCTGCTCTGTGGTGGCATCAGCTTTTGCCCTAGACCTTCATGAATCATTGAAAAATGACCGTTCAATCAATTCTTAAAAATATATATTGTCAGAAGATTTTAAGAACCTTGTTAGTGGTTCTGACTATTTTACCTAAACATATTTAGAACACATTCCATACAGTAATTTAAGATATTTTAGTTAAATGTAATTGTTCTGTGGTTTTGCAGAGACCGGTTTTTCCCAAAAGGTGTAGAACACCTTTTTTTTTTCTATAACATAGTTAATTTTTATATGTCTGTTTTTTTCTGGAAGTCTTTCCTTAAGCATAAATTCTCGAGTTTTATTTTAAGAGTAATAATTTTTGCTTGGTTTATTTTTTTTACTTGTATTATTTTTTACTTGTAACCTTAAGGATACCACTGTGTGAATATTAATTTTGGGAAGACACTACAGTTGTGGGAGATAAGGGAAATGGTGACGCTGAGCAAATGATGTGCAGCTGTCCCAGTGAAACTGGGTCTGACTCCAGCCCTGAATAATACATTACATCTTAGCTGGGTTTGTTCTGATTTGAAGCAGTCTTTGATGATGTCAGAGAAAGTTTGATAGGAGGGAAAAGGGATTGATGCATTCCAGAAGTTAAAAAATTAATTTAATTTTTGTGGCTCATTTATAATGACTTTCCTACAGTATCCTCTAATGTTTCTTTTGTATCTGAAGGAGCATGCTAATGAACGTGCTGTAAGCTACACTGGAATTCCCCAGCGTGCAATATCAGAAGAATCGCCCTTTTTCCTTTCTGCTTATAATGCACTGAATTCACAAGAGAGTTAGGAGAGGGTACTCAGAATCCGTCTGTGCTTGCACCAGTGTTAACTCCAAGGGGCCTTTATTAGTAACATAGTGCAGTCATGCATTTAAAAGACTGGTTTACCATTGATCAGATGCTATTTTTTCTGTATGTCTTCAAGCAATTCTGTATATTGATATGGCACCTGTCAGTCTGATATTCAAATACTAAACAATATTGAATGCTGTTAGGCCACAGTATAAGTAGCACTTTTATATCTTCTTCTGTGATGAGAAACAGGGAAGTGTTGTGTCTGCAGTTTGCTTAGTTGCACTTTTTAAGCTAGCAGCATTGCTCTTAGGGATGCAAGCTGGCTTGAGGTTGTTAAAGAATGTAGAGTCAGGCCATTCTCAAAGAATATTTTGTGGATAAAGATGTGACATAGCTGGCCTTTCAGTGACCACTGGGATTTCTAGGCACTCCCTTTACCCAGGAAAGGAGCTCACTAGCTTTCTTAGAAAAGTTGCATTTTGCTATGTTATCCTCTAAAATCTGGCAGCATGGCATCAGAAGTATGGCAAATAAATCTCAGTGAGTGTTCAGTGTCATCCCAGTAAAGGAAGTTAGGTATCATCAGTGAGATTTATGGAAATTTCATTATAGG